GCTGAGATGAGCTATTTCCCAGGGAACTGTTATCACAGCCAGGGCCAAGCGTGGCTGTGGGGGAATCGGGCGCCGCATGTCGGTGGCAGATCCTGAGCTGCGACAGTCGCCTGCTCACAATCCTGTGATCGCTCTGCCAGTTGTGTCATCTTTTACCATTTTAAACTGTTGATTTGTTGGGCGTGTGTGGATGTTTCTGAATGAGCACAATTAGGATTTTCTTTTTTTTTTTTTTTTGGTGGAAATAACTTCATCTACTTTATTCATCTGTTGGCTTGAGATTTAATTGATTCTCAGGGTCTCGTTATCAGTGCGGCGCACTCGTATTACTCAGTGTCTGGGTCAACTTTTTTTTTTTTTTCCGTTCTGCTTTTGACTCCTGGGAGGCCCAACTGAGGGCTGGAACAAAGAGGGGGATGTGCGCCCGTTCTCTGCTTCAGCATCGTGCTGAAAAGGCGAACATGAGTAAGTAGCAACAGAAACAAACATCTGGCTCCCAAAGTTCAACGGTTGTTTTAAGCTTCTAAATGGAAGTTCTTAATGCTGTCACGGCTCCAAACCATCACCTGTCCGGCGCAGGGTGTAGTGGTGGAGCTGTAGAAAGGTGCATGGTTGGTTGTCTTTAACTTCCTGGTATTCACCTCTATAAAATTACCTCCTTTGGAGAGGGCCATGATTCATCTCTTTTGTTGGAAATGACACTGAGGTGTTCCTTGGTTGCAAAGCAACCTCTCTTAACTTTCAAGTAGGATTTGCAACCTGAGCTAGACAGCTCTTTTCAATATCATTCACAGCCCCTCTGATAGGTCTTAAGGATATTCTGTTATAGTTAGTAATGTTTAACCTGTATCTGTTGCTTTTTATAAGTTAATTATGCAGTATCTGCTAAAGAATGTGTAGCCTTCTGGTTCTGCTGCATGCCAGTTAAAGATTAATTGTGACACTCCCGTATGTAAACCCTGAAAAATTAAGCTTAATGGGTGTAGTATTTGTGCTCAGTATCCCTTGCGAGCGAAGGGTCTGGTACCAGTAAATGGTCAGGTTGCTCAGAATTGTGACTTACTTTTCCAGCGCATGGAATTAGATCTGAATTCGAGCGTTAAAGCTGCCACGCTGAGTGTTCGAGTCTGGTGTTTCAAAGTCAGGACCTCGGGGTTCTGTGTGTACCCTTAAGCCACGAGCTTCAAAACCAGGATTGCGTTTGCTCTTCTCCTCCCCCGAAAAGGCCTCTTTGAGTTCTGTAATTCATAAGGCTACGATGATTGCATTGATCGTAGCTACAAAGGGATTTACTAGTCTCTGTGAATTTGACACTTTGAAGTGTGTGTGGCTGCTAGAGATGGGTGTAGTTGGATGCTCCTTGGCGTGAAGTGAATATTTCCAGTGGGCCAATTAGTTGTGGCCTTGGTAATTTTACTACTTGGCTACCATAATTCGCTCCAAATGCGGATTAATAAAGCTCCTTATTCTTTTTCTCATTGAAGTTTGAAATTCTTAGAAACATACGTCCTAGAACAGAACTGAGGTAATTTTAGTTGCCTATTTTTAGAGAGTAAAACGCTAAAAACATATGTGCTTGTTATAAAGCTACGTTTAGAAAAGGACTCAGGAGCTGAGTGACAAGATTTTAATTACCCAGTCGTATGAATGGCTCTAGAGAATTAGTTTTGACTGTAGATGTCTTTTGGTGCACCTCATCCGGTATTTTGAGTAGGCTGAAGCCATTCAGATTCTTGTTTCTAAAGGTTTTTCCATCGAGCCCTTTCCTGCCCTGATAACCAGTGGAAATCAAAAGCTTTACAGCATCCTTTGAGTCCTGTTTGGCCTTTTTTAGCTTTTCTTCCATCAACTAATGTTACCTTGGAAAACTTTTGGGGGGAACTTCAAGCTGTTATCTCCTTTTGGGTGAAATTTTCCTTCTCAGAAGCAAATGCTGAGCACGAATGTGGATGTGTAGGGGATGTGTCATCTTCCCCGACCAGCGGGTCACGGACACTCTTAAAACATCTGAAAGGTCTGTGGTTTTATTGCAGGGCAGACCTGCCTGTGCTATCTGGCTGATCTCAGCAGGTATTTGAATTCTGATGAGCGTTACTAGAGTTTCATCAACAGGTTTAAAGTTTGGAAAGATTCCTTCATCCCAAATACTGGTCTTAGAGGATCTGCTGCTTTGAAGCGCGTCAGCCTTATGGCAAAACCGCTCAGGGGGGGCTTGCTCTTGCCTTGATCAGCCACCTCTTGGGGAAGAGTAAATTTATTTTAGAGCAAGGCGAAGTAGGGTGACAGTTCACACACGTGCTACAGCTTCAGAATTGGTGATGCTGTATGCAGCGAGATGCTTTCTTTGCACCTCATGAGGAGCGTATTTGTCTTTCCAAAACACGGTATTAGCAGGAACGTAAAAGCGGTTTCAAGGTATCGCTTACAGTAAAACACATTCCGTCATCTCCGCGATACACACTGTCTGTCAGCGTGAGGCTACAGGTCTTGTGAGATTAAATGCTCATAAGTTAAGTATGTTGGGCGGTTTATAGCGTTGTTTTGTTCTTACAGGTGTGTCTGTCCTTCATTATTTTTAGTGGATCAGAGGGAGGAGGCTCTCGTGCCAGAGCCTGGGTGCCAACAAGAGAACTGTTTTGTTGTTTGGGGTTTTTTTCCCCCCACTGAATTAAGTTACGAGAGCCTCCACAGTGTGTGCTGCGCCACACTGGCAATATTTGGATGTGCGTGCTGCATTGTGCCTTTGCTTTTTCGAGGGTCAGAGGGTAAATATTGTTTAGGCTACCCGTTCACTCAGTCCCTTGAAATGTTTTTTGGTGCTTTGCACTCTTCTGTAAAATTGGCTTGATATTTGTAGGAGGTAAGAAAAAGCCTAAAAATAGGTAATTGCCTTTCGAAGGAGTCTCTGAAGTTGTCTCTGCTTAAACCTAAACTTTCTTTTTTGCAGGCACAGTGCTACACAGCTAATTCTTCTGTCCTCAGAAGATGTTGTTTTTTAAGATCAAGCCTATTGTTAAACCCAGCATTGTCTGCAATTTGGACAGCTCTTTATGCATCTTGAATTCTTAATCCAGAGAGATTTGGATTTGCAGATCGAATAAAGGTCTCTACTAGACATTTATAAAAAGCTTTCTCATCCTGGTTTTTCTGTGTTTTAGGAGACCTTGAAAAACCCTAAACCCTAATACAGTGATGAGAATTGTTGGGCTTTGATCTTAGGGTTTGGCAAGTGCTGTAATCCTTTAGTTTCATGCACACCAAACTGAAATTAAAAAAAATAGTAGATTTTGGATTGTAAAACCTTACTAGAAGCATCGAGTCTAACCTGTGTCACTTCAGCTGTTACACTTGCTCCTTTTATGCTTTGCAAGCATGTAATTTTTTTTTGGATCAGGTGAAGTATTATTAGGTAACATTGTTTTGGTTTTATTACCATAAAGAGGCAGCATGGTGAAAACAGCACACAGCTCCTCAGCAGTGCTGCAGGGTGACTGACAAGCAGGATTTGGAAAGATTCACCAATAGTTAGGCTTGTCAAGAAGTATAAGCCCTTACGTAATATTTATTATACAAACAGTTCTGTTAATAGGAGTAAGCCAGAGACGTTCGCTTCAGACGCAAAGTTGGCGATTGGGGTGAGATAGTTCAGAGTTAGGCTCGTCGGGTGTTCACCATCCACCGTGGGGGTTGGCTTCCCTTGGGATTAGCTGGGATTAGCCCTTTGGTTAACAGATTATTAAACTAGATAGACCGTTCTTATGATGCGGGTGCACCTCTGAAGTTATGCATTTAAATTTCTTAAGCCTCTCATCACTGACTAGGCTCGACTTTGGTTTGTGTGTACACATTCCTTCAGCCAGCCTAAGTCGAGCAGTTTAGGACTGGATATCTGCTCCTGCTCACTCATCTCGTGGAGATCCCGGCTCCTTTACGGCACAGTGATAAGGGTCTGCTTCAGCTGTGACACTTCAGCTTCTTCTGGCTTTTACCCGTAATAAATGGGCGCACGCTCAGGGGCTTGAGCAGTGAGCTGGCGTGCACGGGCAGAGCGCTTTGCGGAGCTCCTGGTTCACGGGAACCAGTGGTGGTGCTGGTGTTAATGGAGCATTTGAACGTTGTAGCAGTGAAAAGCCAAGGAAGGGATCCGAGTCCTTATTCTTTAAGGAACTTACTTAGGGTAAGAAGGGTAGGAAGTTCCTTTGTGTGGGAGTTAAACTCTAGTTGACTGCTGTAGAAATTCTTGCTCTTTTATTTAAAGAACTGCTGTTGTTCTGCTAGAAATTTTATCCTGAACTAGCACGATTACGCACTTGATCTAGTGTGATGATTCCAGTGGTTTCAGCCCTAAGTTTCTAAATAATTCCTAGTTTAATTCCTAAATATTTTACCCCTTTGTAATTAATTGATTTTTAATTTGAATTCCTCTGTATTCAAGCTCTTGCATCCAAATAGAAAGCTGGCACAGCGAGACAGTTTATTACTACGCTGGGAGCTGGCCACTTGTTAAATAAAGCAAAGTGCGTGGAGCCAAGAGCTGGCAGAAGGAAAGCTGTCAGGAAAATGTAAAGGCGAATTTCTTAGCAGATGTTCTGAGCCTGAGGAGTTCTCGTAGTGCCGACCGTTCGGAACAGTACGAGAGGTTGTACTTCGGATCGTCTCCAGAAGATGTACGTTTGTGGTCAAAGGCTTTCACTAGTCTCCTGTAGGTCATCTCGAAAAGGACGCGTACAGGCTCTCTATCTATTTTTATTGGTCTTGGATTTCCAGGCATGTACAAGGACCCTATTGTCAAGCTTTCATAGCAATTTTTAACAGGCAGTTCATTCCCTTAAATAATTTACAGTGTTGATAAGTAGGCCTAGATGGCTTGAGCGTGATTCAAGTGCGCATGTTCTGGAACAAATGAGAGCAGCCAGTGAAACATCTCTTTCTTTTTTACCTCTCCTAAGCACTAAGTTTTATTTCAAACGCTTGACGACGCAGGACTTTTTAAATTAAAGGGAGCGGGGAATGCTTACCTAAGAGTGCTCAGGGGAGCACCGCTTCTTCCTGACAAATTTTTTCTTTTCCAGGTGAAACAGGCGACCAACCAGATTGTGATGAACTGTGCTGACATTGACATCATCACAGCTTCCTACGCGCCGGAAGGAGATGAAGGTAGGGTTGCTTTGCTCCTGGAGTTTTTAACGCGCTGATCCGTTTCGTTTCTGATGTGAGGTGCTCTTGCCAACAGTTAACCACTTTGATTGCAACGTTGCGTAATGGTCTGATAAGCTAACCTACCCCTAGAAGCACAAAAATTAATTAGCTAACCTTCGTTATCTTCTCATCAGGACTGTTTGCATTGTGCTTAAAAGAGTTACCTCAAGCTTCCCTGAGATCTGCGTTCTGCTCTGTCATGCCTTGTGTAGGCAAAAGGTTGTTTGACTCTTTTTTACGTTATTTTTTTACCTTTATACTGGGTGACCATGTGAGAACGTGTCTGTACCTGTGGACCTGGCAATATCGACCAAATTGGTGACAAAGGCTTGGGTAAGGAAAGCAGCAGCAACGACCTGCAGGAGGAAATACTCCTTGGGAAGGATTTGAAAAAGTACAGAAGACACTTAATTGGCATTTAGCGGGATGTTCCAGGGGTAGGGCAACGTGGAAAAGGTGATTGGGTGGCGGAGACAAGGATTTGGATCTGCGTCAGCGAAAGGCTGGAAATGACTGGAGAACTGGAAGCAGCAGCGTGCGTTTAAGGCACACAGTCAGTCGTTGACATCTTCCCCAGTTGTATTTTAAGGAAAATGAGCAGGTGCACAGAAAGTTTTAGCAATTGGAAGCGTGAGCTGATTGAGAGGTGGAAAAGAATCCCCTTGCAACCGTGATGGCCTCTCTCTTGTTTTGCGTTTAAGTGAGCTTGACTCGTTTTAAGTTTAAATACAGTGCTAATGAAACCAGAGGACTTGAGCACAGTTTAAAAGCACAGTTTAAAGCAGCCACGTGGTGCTGAGGCCAACCGGGAGCTCTCCCGAGGCCGCGTTCCCTGGAGCTCAGCGCAAGAAGGGCAGCTGCAGCGAGAGAGGGCGGCAGAGAAGAGCATTCCCGAGGAGCCAGGAATCCGGCTGTCCCAAGGGCGGAAAAATAGAAAAACCTTTTCCTCTGTGCTCCCGAGTTGTGCCCTGACGCTCCGGTCCCTCACGCCTCTCACACGCACGAGTTGTTTGGGTGCCCGGTGTTGCTGAGTGCTCCCGGAGCTGTTTCTTATACTGAGTAATGAGGCGATAACGAGAGCGGTAGTAATAGAGGAGTGTGTGTGGAGTCTGTTCCATCTACTGCCCTGCCCTAGGCCCAAACTACCTCTTAATTCCTAGTTTTGTCATTGAGAAAATGAAAATAAATGGAAAAGGTACCTGGTGGTGAGGCCTCTTTCCAGTCAAATCGGAAAATATAGGTAAGATAGAGAGGGCATCTTTTTTCATGTGTGATCTTTGTTGTTTTGAGCTCATTTCCCTCTCATAGGGGTCTGTTTTTGTACTCCCTCCTTGTAACTTCAAAGTATTAAAAGTGAAGCGTAGTGGAGACTTAAACTCGAGTGCACTGGAAGTGAATTTCTGTGGCTTAAACTCCTTCGTTCTGACTTTTCAGACAGCCTTGAACAGGGCACTCTGGGCGCAGGGGAGTGTGTCGCTGTGGCGTAAGCGCTCGACTCTCAAACCGCTGTGTCATTAAGTTGGTTTTTTTTTTTTTCATGTTTGGCGCATTATGCTCAGGCTCCGTGGGGTTAAAACATATCTTTCGGGTTGGTAAACTGCCAACTAGTGTAATGGCTTTGGAAGTAAAATTGCATGAAATTGGCAGGCGATTTGCTGGCACCTGTTGATACAGATCAAGTCGGTCTTACTAATGCTTCTATTGTGCGCAGCCTGTGGATGGGAATTGTATAACTGGTCTCAAACCCAGAATATGAAGTAGAGTCCCATGAACCAACAGAAATAGCGGCCAGAGCGGTGGGATTTAGTTACTTGGGTGAGCGAGGGTGGGTTTGAAAACGAGGGAGCGGTGACGTCTGCTGCTTTAAAGGCTCCCGTGAAGAATCGTTGCTGCTTTTAGTTCTGCACCTCAGCGGGGAAGAATTTGTCTCCCGCCAGGCTGTGAGGGTGAGACAAAAGATAGTTGGGCTCTTATCTTCTTTCAGGTGTGGTTCTGTTCCGAGAAGTCGCTGTGTGAAAGAAGAGACCTCCTTGTTGGACAGATACCTTTCCCTTGGGTGTGGAGGCGATCTGTTGGTGTTTGTGCAGAATAGTTTATTCTTGTCCTAATAATTCTCGTTAGTCTTGAGTGCCCACCGCACTGTGATTTGTAAAACGACAGAAATCTGAACTGGAACTGTGGGACGTGTTTTCCTTCCCCTTTTCACTCTTCTAAGGATGGATACAGCAGAGGGTAGAACTTGGTCTTAGGAATTTTAATGCAGATTTGCAGGGAAATCAGGTTATTGCCCAATACCTGACAGGAAGCTGAGGGAGGATCTCTGAAGCTTTAAAGTCAAAGCTGAGAATTTTGCTGTGTAATCCACAGTTGAGTAACAGTGAGTAACAAACCAGGAGCTTGATAACACGGTACCTTGGAGTAGAAAAATTCTCTTTCGTCATAAAATTGGTGGAGTGGTTGTAACTGAAGGTTGTGGAGTTGCTGCTTGTGCCAGGTGTGCTGCAACGGAACAAAGTGACTCAAAAGCCTGAGTTTTCCATTGCTAAAGCTATGACGGGCTCCTCCCACTAATCATAATGGGCAGTTTGTTTTGTTTTGTTTTGCGTTTTCCCAGAAGCTCCTTTTCAGCATTTATAGTCAAATATTTGTAGTGCAGCCGTAGCCTTGAGGTGTGTCTGTGCTGGTTGGCTTTGCTCAGCTAAATGAAGAACGGAGAAGGCATTCTGAAATCAAGTTAAATTTTAAGGGATAGGGTTTCGTACTCGCAGAATGCTGAATCGTTTGGGCTCCCTGTGAGTCTCTCTTTCAAGAGTCGTGGAGTCATAATCGGTGAATTCCACTGTCTTCAGCTTGGAAAGCTTTTCAGATACTGGGAGATCTAAAGCAGCTTCTTAAGTTTAGAGGTGGTTGGAGGGTAGTAGTTGGCAGTGCCGCGCAGAAAATTACGGGCAACCGTAGCGATGTTTGTTTAGCAGAAATAATCAAGTGAACTTTGGTTTTTACCTTTAAAGGTCAACCTTAAGGCCAAAACTCTTTATTTTAGTCTTTTTTCCTTCCTAGCGTGGTAGGGACATGCTTGGAGCTCGGGATAGGTGCTGGTTACACCAGAGCCTCAGCTGATGTTTAAAACTGCAGCCGAAGAGGAGTAGGGCTTGGGGGAAACCGAGCAATGTGACCCGGGAGTACTCGAGTGATTTTTCCCCTCACGCCGATCATCAGGCGGCTTGAAATGGTCACGGACTGGAAGATTCAGCCTGAGGAGGTTCAGCCTAAACATAAGGAGATAATTCTTTACTGGGAGGGTAACGGAGCGCTGGCGCAGGCTGCCCAGAGAGGTTGTGGAGTCTCCGTAAATGGAGACTTTCAAAACCCGCCTGGAGGTGTTCCCGTGGGATCTCCCCGAGGTGGATCCTGCTCCTGCGGGGCGGCTGGACTGGATGATCTTCAGAGGCCCCTTCCCACCCCGACCGTGCTGGGATTCTGTGTGATCGTGCCACTGTGGAGAGAGGCAGCAGCGTTTGTCCTCACTCCCTTCCTTCTGTCGGTGTTCGTACCCTTGAGTGGCCCAAAAACTGCCGCCACAAACTGGGGAGGGCAGCTTGGAGACACATCATCCTCCTGATCCTGGTGCTTGGACGTGGAGGCCAGTGGGAGGAAGGGGATGGGGACGTGCAGCTGGGGCCAGGGGAGAAAAACGAGCCTGCTGTCTCTGCCTGCAGCAGGCCAGATTCCTTGAAGCCAATTGTGAAACCTTCCATTGGTGTGGAAAACCTCATCTTCATCCTTTCTTCTGGAGAGGACTTGGTGTGACAGCATTTTGAATGTAGGCTGCTGGGTTTGGTTGTTTTTTTAAGGAGGCCTGGGCTGCGTTGGCATGGACAGTTTGAGCCTCTCCGAGACAGAAGATTACCTCCAACTCCTGGAAAGGATTTCGCAACCGCTGGTTGGAGACACATGAAAAGGTGTGAAAGCACCTTGGGAATTGCATCGGCGTCAGTCAGTGGCCGATGCTGAAGGAGGACGTGTGCTATCTCAGCGCGTTGGGGTTTTAGGCAGATGTATTGGTTTTGCAGATGGAGTAGGCACAGTGCACCCAGTCTCTGCGGTTTGGTTAATGAATACAAGTTCGTTAAGCCACCATGTGTTAATTGCCTGTGACTTGCCCGTGCCACGGATTGAGGGCTACTTCAGAAAAACTCCATCTCCTCCGCTTGGCTGTGTCTTCGCTTCGAAACGCAGGCACGTTCTGACATTGCGTTAAACCTCTGGCCGGGATCCGCGTTTATAACCACGTAATGCAGAAATGGGGATCGTTAAGTGATGTATCCGCCTGGTTACTGTGTCACTGCAGGAAGTTCTCTGCCCAAGGACCAGGATTTATTTACAGCGCTGCTGTAAAACTGGATACGTAGTGCTCCGAGTTTGGGAGGGTTGCTAGATCCGATTTTTATGCATTTTTGCCGAAGACGCGGGGCAGTAGCAGCTTTTTATTTTCTCATGCGACTCGGCCCAGGCTGTGGACTAATGTGCTAGTGATTAACTTGCAACCTTGCGGTGCCAAACTCTCCAAAGTTAGTAGGCTGCCAAAATTGTGTTGTTCTCTTCAGGAGCTTTTGTACTCAACACTGTTAGGAATTCAGACAGCCTTTTACTGCAATTACATCTTTGTTATAAGCAGTTCTCTTAAACTCTTAACAAAAAGTATTGTTGATGGTTTTCCATGGTTCTTTTTTTTGCTCTGGATTAAATTATTGGTACTGAAGGGGGGAAAAAAAAAAGCGACCTTGAATCTTCCGTTTATGTTCTGCAGATTTTAGAAATTTGTAGATAAGCAGCTTTGAGAATTAAAAAATAAATTACCCTGGAAATTATCTTGTAGAAAGATGCTCTTCTGGATGCTGGACTTGCCATTGTTTTTTGGGGTTCATGGGGCTGTCCTGGACTCCCACTGTAGCCCTGGATCAGGATACTCCAGTTCCCAACCTACTGAAACTGTAACTTGTTTGAACATTGTTTCTAACCTTAGGGTAACTGGGATCCAAGGCTGTGAAATTGAAGTTGAGAAGCTCTTTGAAACGAGGTTGCTCGCTGCAATGTCTTAATGTGCTTTCCTCGCAGGCGGGAGGAAAAACCAACCCTGAAAGTCTTCACCTTCTTCTCGCACGGGCACTGGTCACCTGTGTCTTTCCTAGTACGGGTTGAGAAGGTTGTAAAGGAGTGGAGCTACACATTCGGATACATTTAGGAAGACTTCCCGTTTGGGAGGGGTGGAAACTTGATATTCATTGTCAGCTTTTGGCAGGAGGTCTGCATAACATGCATTCTTCTGTATTTCTCAGTTTCACTAGGTTGGAACTATGATCCCGAAGTCACGATATTGTTTGTCTTCGGTATCAGATTTCCAGTAGAAGCTGTAAAAGGTTTCCATTAGAAGCTGTAAAAAGATAAAAATGTTTTTGGTTTGCTGGGGTCGTTTTAAGATACGTGGAGGGGAGTGTCTCTGCATTACTTTGTCTCAGGTTTTCGTGGGCTGACAGCTCGGTGTCGGCAGGTTTTCCAGCAGCAGGATTCCTCAGGCAGAGCCAGACAGAAATTCCTGACAGGTATTCAGCCCGTCCTTCCCTCTGGCCGAGATCACGAACACGCTGTCACAGAACAGCCTCTGCAGATCGCCAGGGTCAAACTTCCCTGGATCCAACTGATCTGACCGATGCAGCCGGCGACCGGCTCCGCGCTCTGGTGCTGGGAAGCCCGCTCTGACCAGTGTGCTGTTCTTACTGGGCTTCTCCTGAACATCTTCTCTCCTGTTCTCTTACAGAGTCTCCTTTTCTGCCTCACTGTTCCCCAGAGTTACAAGAAGAAAAGCTAAGCCTTGACTTTTTGTTGCTCATTTCCCACTGCTTGCCAGCATTTCACTGTCCTTGGCATGTGTTCTCTCTTGATGGTCTATCTCATCCCTCTTACGGTTGGTTTTAAAAATCTTGGAACTCTTCAGCACACACTACTAGTCTAAAGTTCAGCGTGATCATGTATGATTTTTTTTTTTCTTCTTGAATTTCTGAACCACTTTTTTTTTTTCCTTTACAGCTGGAGTTGTTTTATTGTAAGCATTTCTGTGTTACGTACCCTAACATGGTGCTTAACTCTGATTAAACGCCGAGCAGAGCACTGTGAAACCAGTAGTTAAGACTAATGCCTTCATGCCGTTCCTGTATTTATGTTCTCTGCAAGCAGAGGCTGGTGTTAGCTCTGACTTAAGGCTAAAATCATACTATTCCAGAATAAATAGCGCTTTGAATTTTATAAAAATAAAAACATGTTTCCAGTTCCTTTTGTCACATATGGAACAACTTAGCTGAACGTCTTACGAGTGCGCAGCCCGAGCTGCCTCTGAAACCAAATACCTGGCTTCTCGTAGCGATACTTGAGCGTGGAAGACAGGTTATTCTGTGAATTAAATTGTTGTTTCAAACAAGCTTTGTCATTTAGGAGGCCCGTATCTTTTCAAAACTGTGCTCGACTGCCAAATGTTTATTGTGTTTCTAAATCTAGAATTACACCTTGGCGTGTCCGCCTAGAAAGAGCTGTCACTGTGTCCGGGCTCGCTGGGGTCGGTAGTTCGAGATGCTGACGGGTGGTAGGAGGCGCCGCTCGCTTGTTTGGGTGCGGATTTGCATTTCTCGGCGAGAGCTGGCTGGCCTGGTGGTTGAGTAGAGAGTGACACAGGTAACAAAACTCATCAAGTGAGGTCCTCCGGAGCTGTTTTAGACTTTTTATGTTGAAGGAGCCTGGATGTGGCGGCAGTTGAATTGCTGCAGACTGATTCCATCCCCCACCCATCCAGCCTGGCCTGGATATTTGCACCTGGGAGTAGATGTGATGCTGTGTAAATGCCGTCCTGCGTGGCAGTCGGGTTGCTTTTGGATGCCCTTACTGAATGGTGTGTAAACTCCAAGGTAGGCCCCTGGTTCTGAAGGCAATTTTTAAATAAAATCAACATCTTGTTTTCCTTTGTGGTTAAAACCAAACAAAACCCGCCTTGCCGTGGATATCGATGTATTTTCCAAAGTGAGATCCGCAAATCAGCAAAATAAATCACAAGCAGAGGTAGTGCTCTGGGGCTGGGGCTCTGTAGTCTGATGTAAACGTGGTAGATTTATTCGTCTGAAGCAAGATCATGTGGAACTCCGACAACGGGCGGTGTTTCTTCGGTAGCATTCATATCGTTCTGGACGAGTCAAAATCTGCATTGATTTGTTCAGTAACTACAGTTGGGTTCCGCTGATTTGGTTAATTAGAAACGTTCATGAGTTACAAAAACATCTCTGGGGCTTATTTCCAAGCAAGTCGTCTCTTTTTGTGTTCCAGAGGTACATGCCACAGGGTTCAACTACCAGAATGAGGATGAGAAGGTTACTCTCTCCTTTCCTAGTACTCTTCAGAAAGGTAAGAGCTATTTTCACGCTTTCTGCTTGTTTCAGCCATGGGTTTAAGGTGTTTGTGCTTGAAGAACCTGGAGTAGGGTAGCTCTGTCTTCCCTGAAGTTTCTAGCAGTGAACGTAGGGCTCCCTAGAGTCTGTCCACCACAAGTGGCTTTGTCAGCCTCTGGAATTGAAAATGTTGTTTCGCTAATGGTGATGTTTGCTTCCAGCACCTGAGGTGATTGTAATTATTTACCAGCTATTGGGAGTTTGGCTCAGCAGCTACTGATGTCACCTACTCATGATCTGTTTTCCTCTCAGCAAGAAGGAGCTAACCTGAATTACTGCAGTGTTTTCTTACGTGTGAATATGCTCATTCTTTTGAAACTGCTACGGTTTTTTTGCTCCCAGGAGGGTGTCGATTGAAACTCAGCTCCTCAGTTTGGATAAAGCGGTTTTATTTCACCTTGACAAATACAAATATAAAGATTCCAGGGTGATAAAACCTCTGTGTTTGGTTCCGTGGGATGTTGGCATGCTGCTTCTCTGACCAAGATCAGATTTCCCCTTTTGCCCTGAGACATCAAGAGCAGGATAAATCCTGAGACTAATTGACTTAGAAGCTTGGAGGCAGCCGGTGCTCCATCTTGGCTCTCGTAGTCAATCTCGTCGGATGCTTTTAATACTTAGTAGTCGTCCTATATTTTTGCGAGCTCCGCTCAAAGAGAAGATTTCTCAAAAGGCTTAAGGTAGCTCTCTCCTGGTTCTTGCGTTGTGTTTGGAGGATGAGGATGAGTCCTGCAGCAGCCTCTGGTCTCAATCGATGCTGCAGTGCTGCGCCGAGGCTGGCTTTGCCCACCTTGCTCTGCTGGAGCCTATTTTGTGTCGGAAGAGGGAAGGGTTTGGGGGAGGCTGGCAAAAAAGTCATGGGTGGAGATGAGCTGAAGAGCAATGGGCCAGCTGAGGAGCCTGGCCTGAAGGTCCAGACTGAAGAAACGTTCTGTTTAACACATGCAAATAACAATGTCCCCTCTGTTTCTGTTCCAGGGACGGGCACGCTAAAGATAGACTTTGTAGGGGAGTTGAATGATAAAATGAAAGGCTTTTACCGAAGCAAATACACCACCCCTACCGGAGACACGCGCTACGCTGCTGTCACTCAGTTTGAGGTATGGGCTATATTTTTGTTTTTGGGGAGTGTCCTTCTTAACGCAGGACTTGGGCTTAGAAGAAGCAAAGGCACGACTCGCTAGCTTTAGCTATACCCCCTGCGTAAATGTCAAAATCCGTGTTAAGTTGGTTCTTACTCTTGCTGTGGATGGGTAGTACTAAAAGCAGCCTTTCCACTGAGGCTTCAGGGTCAGTAAATTCTGGATCTGGCAAATTCCCCAGCCAAGGATGCCGCTGCTCTGTGATGCGTTGTGTATGTACAATAGGTGCAATGTTTAAAACCAGCTGGTGCTCAAATACCTCTCTGTAACTTTCCTTTAGGAAGTATACAAATTTTTCCTAATAGCACGCTCTGCCTTTATCTCAGTGCCTTAACGACATCCAGATTCTGTCTCAAGTATTACGTAAACCCCGGACATTTTCTATACCACGTTGTCATTTCGTAGTTATCTGTCTGGTTACGTAAAACCGTGGAGTTCTCACCTAGCCCGGAGAGAAGATCTCTTGGGCGCAGGCTGCCGCCGGAGCATAAGTAGGTGGTCTTGTGTGCACGGCCTGTGAACGCCCGGGTGCCCTCTCTGCTTTCACATGACTGAGCTTTGCTCCCATCATGACTCTGCTAAATTTTGCTCAGACTGTAGAATTCCATCAGAGCACAGAGTGCTTTTCAGCTGCCTGCTTGCTTTCCGTTTTGTTTTTTTTTAACCAAGAGTGAAGTAAATAAGAATAAAATGCTCTAATGCAGAGGTCAAGAGTGTCGGTGAAGAGAGCACATCGATGAGCAGCCATCAGTCACCCAACTTCTCGCCTGTAAAATGTGATGAATTTTTGTGTGTGTGTTTTATTGCCACGGTCTCTCATGATTTATTTGTTCGATGCTCTTCTTTCCTTCAGGCTACTGATGCTCGCAGAGCTTTCCCTTGCTGGGATGAGCCTGCTATTAAGGCAACATTTGATATTTCTTTGGTGGTTCCTAAAGACAGAGTAGCTTTGTCAAATATGGTAAGTTCTTGATGTGCAAGTAAACTGTGCTTTAAATAAAGCTTTAATAAGACCAGCTGATTATTTGATGGTTAATAGTGTGTCTCGGTAACAGACTGAGGAATACAGGCTGTCTTTTTAGCCATTAGTAAGCAGGAAGAAATTGAGAAAGCTTTTAAAATATGGTCAGATACTAGCACAGAACCTTAAACAGGTTGTACAAACCACGGTGATGGTGATTTAAAATAAAAATCTTGGCATATGTCAAGCCACGTGCTGCTTGGGAAAAAAAAAGAAGCCTTTGTGTTTACGTAGCTGTTACGGCTCCATAAGCACTCGAGATAAATAAGCACGTTTTCTGCTCGGCAGAATTTCTGACCAGGACTGGGGTAAAATGCGCAAGTGGGAGTACCTCTGTCACAAATACAAGTGGGCATTTTCAGGTCGCTACTTTAAATATTTCTAAATTATGTTACCCAAGAAGAGCAAGTCAGTTTAAAAATAGACCTTTTATTTTTTTTTTTATTCCAGTCGCTAACTTCCACAGTTACCTGCAGAGGCTACCCTTGCCCTCTGACCACGCGGTTATGGTTTCTGTTTCAGAATTAAAGTGAAAGCCCGATGCCTTGTTGGGCTGTGGCTAATTCTCTGAAGGGCAGCAGCTGATCGCTGAAGTGTTCAACTGCCTTTGTAACAATGGATTATAACTTTTATATTATAAAAGTACCCCAACGTGCGCACCAGGGCATAGAGGGAACTATGCTATGGCCTCTGTTTAAAAATCCCCAAAGAAATCCTTTCATTTTAAACGTGTGACTCATCATGACGGACTCGGTTCGTCAAAAGTATCGCGTAAGAACGGTTTCGGCGCCGCCAAATTAACCAATTCCCTCTCATGTCCCAAGAACGTCGTGGAAGCCGTACCCGGACGACGAAAACCTGGTGGAAGTGAAGTTCGCCCGCACCCCCGTCATGTCGACGTACCTCGTGGCGTTCGTGGTGGGGGAATACGACTTTGTAGAGGCCAGGTCCCTCGACGGCGTCTTAGTGCGTGTTTACACCCCCGTGGGCAAAGCGGAACAAGGAAAGTTTGCGTTAGAGGTAAATGCTCTCAGGGTGGCTCCGTTGCCGCCGCGGCGATCCCCGGCACGTGGCTCCCTCCTCTCTTTTATTGCCTACGCCAAGCTCCAAAGGCTGGGGTTTGTTGTTTTGTGGTTTTTTTTGCTTTAACAGCTCAGAGAGGCTCAGTGTGAAGCAGGATTTCAGTTGTGGACTAATGTAACGCCTGTAATGACAAAAACATACAGTTTAATTTAGATGTGATTTGGTGCTGCAGGCGTTAGTGCGTAGATGATGGGAAGTTCTGAAGGGGTGGGCTACAGCCTAGGAGGAAAAAGGGGGTGGGAGCCTGCTCTGGGAGCGGGGCTTCTGGAAGAAATCTCATGTGAGCTGCTTTCATGGGCTGGTCTCAGTCATGAACTTTTCAAGTTTTACTGATCGTCCCGAGCTAACGTTTCTCCTCTTGTTTCTTACAGGTTGCTGCTAAAACTCTGCCTTTTTATAAGGACTACTTCAATGTTCCTTACCCTCTTCCTAAAATTGATCTCATAGCTATTGCAGACTTTGCTGCTGGTAAAGTAACTCACTTTATTGATGAACTGTATTTTATTTGAATTTTAAACGTTTAGGAAGAGGTGTGTATCCATATCAATAAACCTTTGTATTTATTTTATAAAGGTGCCATGGAGAACTGGGGCCTTGTTACTTATAGGTATGCTGTTAAAATACTGTCTTTCCCCCCTCTTTGTTCACTAATTCTTGGAAGTAATTGGATTAGTTTTAGGGAGCTGTAATTATTGGCTATCAGCCCAAATTAGACTGAGTAAATACCTTCAACTCTTGCTTCGGTTTGGAGAATTTTGACTCCTGCAGCAGCGTGCGTTACGGTACAGATCTTAGGAAGGCAAGAACGAGCTCTTACAGCTCTCGTCCAAGGGCGTGAGATTTTTAAGTGTCTGGCAGCACTGCCTGTTCTAAAAGAGAACTTTCTTGGCCCCTTTTTTCCCTGTCAAAGTTACCTACTTACTGACACAGCTGGAAGAGTTCCTTGTTTTATGTTGCAGGCAAGTTGGTAAATTTAGCAATCACACTCTAACCATGTGGGTATGAGTAAATAAGAAAATATTAACTTGCCTTTGTTTTGAGTTTGTTGGGTCTTTTTTTTCTTTCTTCCTTCATCTGATCAAGCTTTGTACTTTTGCTTGATATTATTACATTATCAGTGCTCATTCTTAGAATGACTTTTCCTTCGTTTTGTGCAACACTGGTCTTGTAAGCTTTGGACTCGAAATAATTTGAATTTCTTCTGCTGAACTTTTTAATTTGGCCTTAAAAAACTGAAAGGGAAATTTGAGCCCAGGTTTAAGATTACTGGTCTGCTTCTTGCAGTTCTGATGAAATCTGGTATTTTACTCCCTGTGGGAGGAAAAAAGGCAAATTGTCCTGGATGAGTAGAATTTTTGGAAGCCTTTCTTCATCATGCTGTTAATTTTTTTTCTCCCCCCTCCGTTTATGGTCCGTTTGGCACGCTTGCTTTAGCCCTTTGGGGACAGAAGGCTGGCCTGATCTGCAGGCACCATCTAGGTTTTGAGGTGCTCATTTTTTTTCCCCACCCTCCGAGTCTCCGAATCCTTTCTGCCTGGTGGTGGCAGGGGGGTTGTGTGCCTGCTGCCGGGTCGTGTGGGTGTGGGGAAGCCTGGAGGAGCTGGAATTCCTGGGGGGCTGAGGGAGGTGGAGAAGACACGTCGGGCACGCGGTGCAAAGGGAGATACAGTCCAGGTTCTTAGATTTATGTAGGTGAGAGCTGGTTTAGAATAAAAAAAGATAAACTTTCTTGTTCCTACCTGGGTTTTTGCACTTGTCTTCTTGCATGCCGTGAGGAATTACTGCTCCAAAGCATTCCAACAGCTGTGGAACTTACCAGAATAATTTAATGGCTAAACTGAAATAGCTTTTCGGTTTTTTTTTCAGTTGCACTGATCACTTTTTAGCTTGCTTAGACAATTTAACCTACTTTTGATTGTGTTTTTTCCCTGGGCACGTCCTGCTCTCTTAAGTTGTCTTTCTCTCTTAAATACAGGGAGACTGCGTTGCTCATTGACCCCAAAAATTCCTGTTCTTCATCTCGCCAGTGGGTTGCTCTGGTTGTAGGCCATGAACTTGCTCACCAGTGGTTTGGAAACCTCGTGACCATGGTATGTAACACTTTACAAGTTCTTCTGGTCTTCTTTAACTGGTGCTTCATATCATGTGTGTGTTCAAGTGCCCCTGACTAGCAGGCATGCTATCTTTAACATAAGAAAATGGAATATTTAAGTAGTGTTTTATTACCACTTTCTTCTTTTACTAGTACGTTCTTTAGAAGATTATTCCTAGATCTTTTCTATGGAAGCGATGCTCAGTTGTTTGAATATATCCCTAGTTCGAGGGAGCCACTTCCGTGGAAGTGGTTTTGGCTAGTCAGGTTGTTTACAAGCAATAATCCGCTATTTTGCTGTCGCTTAGGCAGGACTCACTCCTCAGACTTTCATACCAAGCAGGCACGTGGGTACCAGCTCAGCGTTGCAAATTGTTCTAGTCCAGTAGCTGCAAAGTTGCTCATAGTAACTGATGTGAGTGACTTTGGAAATGTGGGGAGCCAGCTCTCTGAGTGGTTTGATGTTTAACTCATTTCGGTGGGAATAGAAGCGTATGTGAGGCAGCAAGACTGAAATCCGTAAATAACTTCCATTTAGTGCTAAAAACCTCAAACCGGTGTCTGATAGAGCTTCTGCTGTTAACAAATGGCTTATTCTGTTAATTAGAGCTGACGTTGCTTTTCAAACTCTGCCAACAGGTGCTGGAATACAAATATTTCACAGGTTAAGGAAGTTTCTTGTATTGTAAGGAATCTGTGTTTTGTTTTAAAAAAAAAAAAAAAAAAGGATGGGTTTGGAGCCCCAAGTCTGCATTCTTCTGGCTTTTTGGGCTGCTAAAGCTAAGTGTGAGTGGATGGAGGAAAAATCCCAGTGTACAGATTAATTAGATCACGAAGGAAAGTTTGTCAGACTTCACTACAGTGCTGTGCCCCTTAATGTCATCACCCGTGTCCGTTCCTGTTTGTGGGAGCACAAGGAGCTTCCATGTGAGAGCGACACAATATTTAAATGGGAAAGTAGTAGGAAAGTAGTGTATTTTTAGCTTTTAGCACAGTTGAGCAGCTGGAAGCAAGGAGAGCCAGCATCATGTGAGCAGGCAACACTGTAGATGCCAGCAAGTGCCTTAGAGACCAGCAGGGACCCACGAACCCTTCGTGGTCCTCTGGCCATCGAGAACGGTGGCAGGAAGCTTGAGAAAGGATCAAAGTTACAAGAATCTCTAAAATTGATACTGAATTAGTTTCTTATTTTCAGGAGAAGCAGTAGATTTGTGGGCTATCAAGTTGCCAGAGGGATAAAGGAGAAAAACAGGGAGGTGAAAAAAGTTCAAAGTCCACCCCAGTTGCCCAAGAATCTCTTTTGCAGTTGCCGTGGTCCTTTGGAACCGTTCGGGGTGTGCTGGAACCTTGTCTTGCAAGCAGATGCGATCAGAAATGCAAAATAAAATTGGATAGCCTCCACTCTAAAAATAAAGCGGAGCTTATCTGTGTAGAGTTTAGTAACAGCTTTCCTTGTTGAAATTCCACCGTCCCCGGGGTAAATGTTTCATTCATAGTGGCAGCGGCAGTTCTTGCTGGGCTGATCCTACATCCTGGCCCGTATCGCCGTGGCCACGCTCTTCTGAGTCAGCCGCCCCATTTACATCTAAAGAATGGTTGGTGAGAGCACTTCTGGAAAAGGGTGTTTTCTTCCTCAGCATCCGTAGCCTGTTTCCTTAGCTCTCCTTCGGTTCAATATTAGAATTTTTTAATGTCGACGTAACTTTCTTATCTTAAAAAACCAAAAGCCCACCTTTGGCTGGTGAGACACAACTTGGAACTGTTCGCTAGACGACAGGTTTTCATGGTCTAGAACATTTCTTCAGATTCCAGGTTTTTCTCCTTTATACTCCTTAGCAAAGAAACCCAACCAAACAAAAAATAACCAACCAAACTAGAACAAAATCAGTGTTCTGCAGCTGCTGCTGGTCACTTTGGGAAAGACACCGTCGTTGCGTTGCCCACGGTTCTGTAGCTTTCCTGCGCGGTGGCCTTGCACCGCTGGCCCTTTCCCTCTCAGTCACGTTCCTGGCTGTTCCCTCAGCGGCTCTGCTCTGACCCCTAGTCTAGTCTCGTGGAATTTCATTGGTACCTGGTGCAGTTCTCCGTATGGAATTTCTAAACCCTAAGAGGAAGACAGTTATGGGATGCTGATTCCTGCTCTTGGGCTGAGAGGAATTTGTGCTACCAGGTGTTACCTGTTTCTCCGATTTGTACGGCACTAGGCTGTTCACGGCTTATCTTTGCTGCAAACTTACTGTCGATTGTATCGAGCTGTTGGGATTTTGTTCTTTATTCTGCCTTCTTACCTTGCCAGGAATGGTGGACCCATCTCTGGCTGAATGAAGGATTTGCCTCCTGGATTGAATACCTGTGTGTAGATCACTGCTTCCCGGAGTACGACATCTGGACTCAGTTTGTTTCTGCTGATTACACACGAGCTCAAGAGCTTGATGCCTTAGACAACAGTCATCCCATTGAAGTAAGTTCTGCCTCGCTACAGATTGTCTCAATTCCTTGTCAGCTCCGCATAAGCTTTTTCCTATTAAGAAAAAAGGGAACAGTCATTCATGCCGCAAAGGAAAAATCTGAGGTTGCGTTTACACTTTGTGGATTTTCCTCTGCTTGATTTAGTGTTTCAGCAGCGAGGTTTGAGGCTCTGATGAAGGCTCCTTCTGGAGTTCTTCTGCTCCGTTGGCTTGAAAGGGCAAAGTTGTGATCAAAACTCATTACTTAAGTTTTGATTTGGGTTCTGATCAAAGCGGGCAGTTTTCAGACCCTTGAGCACAGGCAAGTAGCTCCTGACTTACTCTGGTGCTCAAAACCAACCCGAGTGCAGCATAGCCCGGAGCCCAAGCTTTGCTAGGCTTGGACTGGCATCTTTCTGAGGCCACCTCAGGTGTGTCTGTGTTGTGCTCCTGGAACTGTGGGTCTTGAACCAAAGAATTCAAGCAAGATCCCAAAGTCCGTTGGATTGAATACCGAAACCTCAGCAAAATTATATTTAACCTAAAACCAACCCTAACCAAGCCCTACATGAATAAATTTAATTGCCTGGGTGCGGAGATTCTGCTAAGGGGTGGGTTTTCAGCGAGAAAAGTCAGCTCCTTAAACACCGGAACAAACTAAATGGAAACCCCGTGGCAGCTCAAATTGTTCTCACTGCTTACCCTGTTCGCCACAGGTGAGCGTTGGCCACCCCTCCGAAGTAGACGAAATCTTCGATGCTATTTCTTACAGCAAGGGAGCATCTGTCATCCGAATGCTCCATGACTACATTGGCGATGAGGTAAAAACGCTGTCGTGAAATCTTTTTGCAGTTAAAATTAGCGTTTGAAAGGAACAAAAAGTAAATCTGTGTATTCTGTATTTTGTAAACTTTTCTGCAATCTGTATTTGGACTCAGTTTGAACTTACCTAAGGGAAATTAGATAGTGGGGAAATACGAAAGAAGTTACTGGTGTATGTACTGGTCCTAGGATTCCTTGAATATAAATGCAGCGCAGAGGGAGGACAGAAAAACCCTCCGTTTAGTGCCCTGACATATTCAATTCTGTGTTCCCAGGACTTCCGGAAAGGAATGAATTTATATTTAACAAAGTTCCAGCAGAGGAAGGCCGCCACAGGTAACTGGGGGTTATTACGTGCTTTTTAAGGGAAGCGATTTCTGGAGGCAAACTCTTCAAGTGCTAAAGCGCTGGATTCTTAAACAGCTCCCTTTCCACCCGAGATAACTGAAATGCCAAGGAAATAACTGGCTTGTTTCCAGGTTCATACCGTGCGTCCCCTGCGCAGCCAGAGTCCAGCATCCTCGGGGGGTTCTCCGCCTCGGGAGTGTGTGGCTGAGGTGATCCGAGAGGGCTGCGTTTGACTGTTGATAACATCTGCGCAGTGATCTAATTAAGCACTAGATGCTGATTTGCCCAGGAAGCCTTTTGCAAGCTCCCTTTGGCAGCGTTGATCGCGCGCAGGCTCCGACAGTTCAAAGTCTCGCCTGACGTCTCGCTGAGCTTTCTCTCCTTAAACCTTTTTTGTGTATCTCTATCAGAAACAGGCCGCGTTGTTCGGTCGGCTCTTTTGGCAAAATATGTGGAAAACTTGGGGAGAAGATTCTTCTGTTTATCGTTTTGAATATTTGATGCTCTTTTGTGTTGTGTTTTATCACAGTGTGTATTGATTGCTTTTTTTTCTACTGGTAAAGAAGCCTTTTTCTCCCCTCTCTCCTCGAGTGGTTTAAGCTGTTTCCTTTATCTCGCTTGTCATCTGTTACGATTTGATAAAAACACAACCCTGGTGCCCATTAAATGTCCTTAATAGCACCTGCCGTGCTTGGGAATCCTTAGTCAGACTTTTCTTCTGCAGAGGATCTCTGGGACAGCCTGGAAAAAGCCAGTGGTAAACCCATTGCCGCTGTGATGAACACATGGACCAAACAGATGGGATTTCCTCTCATTTATGTGGAAGCTGAACAGGTAAATGCAGCTTTTCAGCGCTTCACATAAAAAGTTCGGCCTTTTAACTGCAGTTTAGGATCGAGTTTAGCAATACCCAATTATTTAAAGCATTCCCTTCGCTCGGGGTGGTTCAGTGGGTCGCTCAGTTTAGCGACGGATCTGGTTCAGAAGGGAGGGGAGGTGCAGCTCGCTCGAGGAGCTCGGGGTTGGCTGGTGGAGCTCGGTCCCTCGTTGTGTGCGCAACGCGTGGTGGGGGAGGGAGTGCAGGACTTGGCTCCGCTTCGCCCCGCGTTTCGCCTCTCCCTCCAGTTCAATTGTGCTTATTCCACAAGATTGCAGGGTGAGTGAGGATTGCTGGCTGGCAGCCGAAGCCGGGCAGCATTCAGATGAGAACTAGGATGTGTGTGGTGTGAGAGTAACAGCGAGTGATGCATCGGAGCGATTCTTCTCCTTTTTCTGGAGGAGAAGACGAGTTACTCCATTTCACAGAGGGCACGTGAATGTATTGTGATATACAGAAGCTGACATTAGATGTTCTGATCATTCTTTTTCCTTTTTCTATTTTCTTCTGTGTTTTTTTTTTCCTCAGCAAGAAGATGACAAAGTGTTGAAGTTAGTCCAGAAGAAATTCTGTGCCAGTGGACCATATACTGGTAAGAGAGATGAGTGCTGAGAGCAGGAAAAAAAAATGAGGGTTTGTGGCAATTTGGGAGCAGTGCTGAAATAAAAAAGCCAGCTCTTAAAGACACAGTTTCCACCCATTTTCCATGCTTATAGAAAGGAAAACGTTTGGCTTGAAAGGTGATTTAGAGATTCTTGGGTTGTAACTCTAGAACTGCTGTTTCCCTTCAGGTTTGTGCCTTTTCGATTTAAATTCAAGTAGCCGTGCTTAAACTGCTGCCGAAACTTCTTTGAACGTCAGGCAGAGTTTCTCGGCGTTGTGTGCATACTCTATATTTTTTGTGTCCTTAGGCCTTGCTTTTTATTGTTTCCTCGTTTAGGGGAGGATTTTCCAATGTGGATGGTGCCCATAAGTATTTGTACAAGTGATGACCCCACCTGTGCCAAAATGCAAATATTGATGGACAAGCCAGAGCTCACCTTGGTGTTGAAAGACGTCAAACCAGACCAGTGGGTGAAGGTGAGTTGTCCCAAAGGAGAACATATTCCTAGGAATAAACCTGATTGTCACTGGAGTGTTCCCTTGTATTTCATTTTCCTCCTCTCTTTATTTCTTTTTCCCTTTCCCCACTTGCAATCTTGTATTTCTTATGGAGAGGCCTCTCTGTGCTGCTATTAAATATTGGCTCCTTTTTCTAGTGCTTGCTTGGTGCAGTCCTTTGCCTTCCAAGAGCAGTCCAGACAATGTAAACCTGAACCTCTTGGGAGTCTGAGCCCAGAAAAACAGTGTGCAATTAGAGGCAGCTTTTGAGTCGAAATGTGGTGGCTTTTTTGGTATCCCGTGGCAACTACCGTTTAGTTAAAAGTCCATCCTGCGCAAAAATAGTCCTGTTGATCTTGCATTAGCGTGAAGGTTTTCTACTGGCTGTTACCAGACGAGTACGTACCTGTTAGTGAAAAAAAATTCACCGTTGAGGTCTCCTGCGGACACCAGCCAAACCGAATTTAAAAATGGAAAGACAGAGACTGGCTGGGACTGTTGCTGGATGAGCTGGCTGAGGTTGAAGAGTAGTTGTGTTTAAGCCGGAGCTGTATTCTGAAAGGGAATAAAGACATCAGATGAACAATTCTGAAACTGCCCAAACAAAGGTAAAGTTTGACATTTCTGCCTGAGAAGGCGACGACCCACCTCACTCCGAGGTGAACTGACTGCTGGCTGCAGAGCGGGTTGGTCTGGAGGATTTTAGTCGGCGCCGCAGTGCTGAGGACTCGCCGGAATCATGGCAGAAGCACAGGGAGTGACACCCTGATGAGCTCAGCAGAGGTTTTGGTTTATTTCAAATACTGTTGATGAGCCAACCCCAGTATCTGACCACCTACGGTGAAATGCTTGTGGATGGCAGCGGGTCACTCACGTAGCTCTCAGGTGTCGGAGCGTCACTCGCTTTCGTGCTGGGCAGAGGCGCTTCCTCTCCTTTCTTAAGAAAATGGCTCTGTCGAAGTCGAATGGAGCAGGGAGTGGGAGAGAGGTTACAGAACTTCACATTCTAACACCTCCAGTCTCCGGCCTGTTGTTTCTTGGTGCCTGGCGACCCTTGGTTCAGTTAGGATTTACCCCTCGTTGTAACTGTAGCCTCTATTTCCTTTCGCGGGCTGTCTCTCGTCTTCTGTGCCTCCTAGTGAGCCCTTTTTTGAAATCTTTAGTCTCTCTCCCTTACTTACCAGTTGTTTTTTCTTTTTATTTAAATGATAGCAACTGACTTCTCTGAGCTGCAACGCTTTGAAAAATTTCTAGTGGTCCAAAAAAAATTAAAAAGCATTTCCTCATTTGTTCCTTCCTTCTAATACTTTTTTCTTTTTTTTTTTTTTACTCTTCTGGTACTTTTCAGTTAAACCTTGGAACAGTAGGGTTTTACCGTACTCAGTATAGCCCCGACATGCTGGAGAGTTTAATACCAGCCATCAAAGACCTCTCCCTACCCCCTGTGGACAGGCTTGGCCTGCAGAACGATCTTTTCTCTCTGGTAAGTGGCGCTTTTGCTGTTCTGTCTGACACCGAGAGCTGCAGTAACTGCACAAACGGGTGTCCGAGGAGTTGGTCTCAGTTTCTGGAGGCAAAGTGCCTTTGGGATTACCGCATACATGTAGTTATTAATTAGCTCGACAAGTTCTAACTTGTATTATGAGATTGAAACCCTATGGAAGAAGTCTGCCTAGAACTTCTCTGTAAAGAGATATTATACTATAGTGGGTTTTTTTACAAAATTGATTGAAGAAATTTCTTTTCACTTGTCAAAATACAGATATTCTAATGAATTCTCTCCGTGGCTTTATCAAATACTGCCAGTTATTCAGTTGGGCTTGTCCGAACTGTTCTCTGGGGCATGAGGTGGCTGTTGGGGGGATTCTTACTGTTTAGAAGCGAGGGTGTTGCTTTGAAACAAAGTCCCCAAAGCAGGGGTTGCTGACTCTCAACAATTAGTTGCTGTGCTCTGTATTTCACACTGTGCTTTCTCGTTCTTGCTAGTCA